GACTCCACAAATGTGTTCGATTTACACCAAGAGCAAAGAACCAAGAATCTTGAGTTTTAAGATAAACACTCAAAACCAATAAAGAAAACTACAAATTTGACAGATTATAAGCYATGAAAAAACCAAAAAAGATGGGTTTTAAAATGAAATTTCAATTGTTTACCCTCTTTTTTGTCCAGAAACTCAGATTAAGGTTGAATTAATACATGTATATATATATATTTCAAAAAAACCCAAGAACATATTATACAATGCAATTTGGTAAGTCTAACCCCAAAATATATATTATATATATAAATAAATAACTATAAAARTATAAATCGTAAATATTAAAAATATTTTTTCACAATATATATAATATATAATAATAGAATTAAGTCAAAAACTATTCAATATTGGACTCATTTAGAAGGTATTAACGAGACGATTATAATACTGTAACTTGTTAAAATAAAAATGTATTTTTTAAACATGTTTTAATTGATATACGATTATGTATGTTAATTTGATAAAAGTTTAAAATGAAACATTTAAAATTAAAGGACGTAAAGTAAATTAATTAATTAATTATAGAGGTATAAAATGTAAATTTAAAATTATAATTTTAAAAAAATCAGTTTAATGTGAGAGGGTGAGTGTATKTGAGGGGGTGAGTGTATGTGAGGAGAGGAGGGGGTGAAAAAAGTGAAAAAGTGAGATAATATAGATAAGGGTATCTTGGTCATTTAGTATTTTAAGACTTTAAGACTTTTGCTAAATTTGCTTTATAAGATAGTATAGATAAAGTATTTTAAAATATTTCCGATGGATTTCCTACTGATTTTAAAWTTTTTAAATAAAAACCATAAAACATTGAAATCCATCGGAAATTTAAATTCTTTTCTTTATTTTCTTTAAAATATTCTTTTTCTAAAGAAAAAAGGATAAAGAAAAACGTTTTCCTTAAAATATTTCTGACGGATTTTAAAATGTTTAAATGAAAACTATTAAATCYGTTGGAAATATTAAATTATTTTCTTTATCTATTTCAAAATATTCTTTTTAAAAGAAAAAAAATAAAATAAAAACATTTTCATTAAAATATTGGACGGATTTGTGACAGTTGTTTAAAGTAATAAATAAGTAAAAATATCCGTYACAAATCCGTTAGGAATTCTTCAGGAAATTTATTGAAATAAAATTTTATTCTTTTAAGAAAATTTAGTGACGGATTTGTGGCGGATATCAACAAAATTTAACTTTCCAAATGGCTTTTTTGGGATCCGTTGAAAATCCGTCACTGATTCTCCGACGGAATTTCCGCCAGAAAAAACCGCCGGTGATACCCATTTTGTTGTAGTGTTTATACGTAATTAGTACAAAACAAAATCCAAGTTGTATAAAGAAGGATTACACAATGGACCCAATATACATACATACAATTTAGAAAACATAAATAAATTATTTGGTATGAAGTTTTGCATCTCCACAATGACATGAAGTTGCTCTATTCCTCAAATATGCATATATTCTCCATTATCATATCAAGGTTTGAAAGCCGAGAATACTACAACTGAGTTGTGTCCGCCAATACCAAATGAATTCGAAATGGCTGCATCCAAAAGCATTTGAATAAGTTAACAGACCATGTTGCTGCTAATAATGAATGAGGGAGAATCRGATCGGAAACAAACTCACCAACGTTGATTTCATGTTGCTGCTTTCGATTTACAACTGTGTCGAATTCTATTCCTGGTTCTTGGTTCTGCAGATTAGTGAAGTAAAACATGAAAATCAAAGAACAAGAAAGGGAAAAGGTAGGAGTGTAGGCATGATCATGCACATACGAATTGATTAATGGTGGGATGCAACCATCCTGTCTGAATTGCTTTAATTGTGGCAATGGCCTCCAGACCTCCGGCTGCTCCCAAACTGTGTCCGATCATAGACTGGAACATAAACAAGAAGAGAATATGAMTACAATATCATGTTGTAGGGACAAKTACATRTTTGGACCATTATCTGGTTCACCTTGGTARCGTTCATCTTGATCCCTACAGTGTTCTTGAATACCTTCTTGAGAGCGTTTATTTCTGCCAAATCGCCAACCACTTCGGAAGTTGCATGTCCATTGATATAATTTACCTCCTCTACCRAGACACCAGYAKTCACAAGGCTGCTTTGAATGCATGATGAAAGRCAAAGCCCATCAGATCGTGGATTCGTTATATGATAARCATCAAAATTTAYTGCACCTCCCAAGTATTCGGCAAGAATGGGTGCTTCCCTTTTCTTTGCATGTTCTAAACTCTCCATAACCTACAAAGAGACCATAAAATGATTCAAAAATAAGCAGCACGATGAACTCCAGAACTATATATATTCTTCACCCAATCATGCATCATTGAATGTTGTTGTAGAATTTCTACAACCAATCGAACATATCAATCAGAGATGAAAAGCAGAGGTAGTGAAATTACCAAAACACCAGCACCTTCACTCATAATGAAGCCATCTATATCTTTGTCCCATGGTCTGGAAGCAGTCTTGGGATCATCGTTTTTTGTAGACAACACTCTAAGAGCWKAAAGACTTGTCAACCCTATGGGAACAAGGGAAGCTTCAATGCCACCAGCGATCATCATATCAGCCTTCCCTTGACGGACATGATTTACAGCTGCACAGAAGCAAAAATTGGAGGTCGCACAARCAGCTGAAATGGAAAAGTTTGATCCCATAAAACCAACAATAGGAAGTAGGATTACACTAATAAAAGACATCGWCATATTCCATGAGTCTGATGCTCCCTGAAAGATTACATCAACATTCACCACAGTCAAGAAAATACCATACCATCACCAATAGTTTACCCAGGAATCCGTCATCAGCTGGTTTTTCCATTCAGAGATCAAGAACCCAAAAACAGGGAAGCCAGGCAATAGGTATAGATATCAGTGGTAAGTTTGTCTTCAGTGGTCAAACAAAGTCATTCAGAGGTTCCAATATTGATATAGATATCAACAATGCTTATATTT